GTTGATTTACTTTAAAAGACACTAGAACTTTTATCTTGCACTTTTTAGTTTTCAAAAGATAGTGACGAACAGTACTAATCGTAAATTCATTCACAACAAATTTTACGTGCAATTATAAATAGTAGTTGTAATAAGCGAGATAAAACAATAGTTTTCAGAGTGCATAGTATGAGCAACATAAATGTTTCGAGTCTTAAACAATCCTTGGTAACAAACTTTCTCAACTTATTTCAAAAAGTTTTTCACAAAATTGCTATGAATCAAAATAGGTAGTGAAAAGTTTTGTGTAAGTTCTGAAAAGCGAATCGTAGCATGGCGAAAATTATTTTCACTCTCCTTCTTCTTCTTCTTCTCTCTCTCTGTCTCTCTCTCTCTCTCTCTCTCTTTCTCTCTCTCTCTGTATCCGATGATCCCAAAAATCTATCTTTACAGCTCAAGTTCGTTCCTTTCTATATTTGAAGTGAGCACTCTTCTGATTGTTTTTAACGGACAATCTGTGCTTGATGTATTATAACTAAATTTTATTTAACGATATTACAAAAAAATGTTCAATAAAGTATGAATAAATCTATTTTTTTTTATTCCAACTCAACTGTAGCATTTGTTCAAAAATAGGATATTATAATTATATATTTAGATATAAGTAGCGTGTTTTATTTAGCAAACTTCTACATTAAGGGGATACATCTGTGTTTATGCCTATAAATGAAAAATATGAAAATTAAGGATTACTATTAAAATTTTTTGTTTCTGATATTAAAATATGTTTATATAGGTTTTTTTATAACAAAAAATATGTCTGTAGTTCCTCTTATTATTAAAAATCATCCAGAATTCATGTTTATTGACTTGTGATTTCTAAGTCATTGACCGCATGATTTTGAATGCAATTTTTCACCAATCCTAATCCTTGGGGTCTCAAAAGTTTTGTAATAAAATTCTTTTCCACTTAAGTGTAACAGAATTTAAACAAAAGGCTTGGAAAATTTTTTTCATACTAAAGTACAAAAAAAAAAGACAAAAATAGCTATTTTAATAACGCTTATTGCTATATTTGGAGATTAGTAGATTAAAAAAATAACTAAATAAAAAATCTGCTACACTTAAGTGGAAAAGAATTTTATTACAAAACTTTTGAGACCCCGCAAGGATCAGGATTGGTGAAAAATTGCGTTCAAAATCATGCGGTCAATGACTTAGAAATCACAAGTCAATATACATGAATTCTGGATGATTTTTAATAATAAGAGGAACTAAAGGCATATCTTTTGTTGCAAAAGGAGCTATAAAAAAATATTTTAACATCAGAAACAAACATTTTTAATAGTAATCCTTAATTTTTATGTTTTTTATTTATAGGCATAAACACAGGTAGTTCCCTTTAAATATTAGGGATATAAACGTCTATTGATTTAAAGGATAGGAAACTCGTTTGAAAGAATAAACTTGTATTTTTATTCGCGAAAAACAGTTTTGTCTAAATAAAAAATTATTTTACTATTTATGGAGTTTTTATTGACTGAATTCCTTGTATGCACATAGGCTTTTATTTAAATTTATATTTATTTGTCGAGCAAAATTAATTTATAATACTATATGATACATCGCTAGTGTAAACTGTCAAGTTAGGTTTTTTATTAATTTCTTTATTATAAACTTTCAATTTAAGTTTAAAACTGTGAAAAATGTAACTTTATGGCTGTATTAATACACAATGACAGTTTCAGACTTGTTGGACGTGCGTATTCGGCATTTTTCCTTTTTGAGCTCTATATATGAGGTACATGAAAAATGCGCTTGGTCCGACAATAGTTTTCATGTTGTGCTTCAAAAAATGTTGCAAGTTTGCATACATTAAGCGCTTCGGGTAGGAAATAAATTGTTGGATTGCAGTAGGTAAATACTTTGAATGATTGTAAGATACATTTTTATAATAAATATACAGTAAGTTATTTTTTACAACAGAAGTTTACAAATAAATTTTTTTCGAGGTTTTTGACTTTTTTTATGTATAATTTTAATTGTAGTTTTATGTTTTTTTGAAAACCTATTATATATTCAGTTTCAATTTGCATTAAATATTATTATATTAAGAAGGTGTCTATGTCCCACGAATAATGCGTATTTGACTATGACGAAGCTTTGCGAAAACCAGTTAGAATTATAAAACGATTGAGTAACCAACAGTCTATACTTAAGTAGTATATTGAGATACAGTAAAATCCACTTATTATGAGCATGTCGGGACCAAGGGTTTTGGCCACATTAAGCGACTGGCCATAACATATGGTGGAAAAAATTTATTCAAAAATAGCACATAAAAAAAATCGATTTTTCGAATCAAATTAATCGCTAATTTTTTTTACACTTGCTACTAGTAACAATTGAATTTACATAATTTACATAAGAATAGGAAATCGAAACATTATCTTCATAAAATTGCACACCTCAAATGCAAACTCTGGTTTGCTAAGTTTTTTGATTCATTCTTTGGGTTTTGTTCGCGGACACTCATAAATCATTTTTTAATAATTTTTTAACGTGTACATGTTTTCCATGTATTTTTCTTTTTATAATTTGATTGTTATTATAAATGGCAAAATGTTCTGAATTTCTTCTTTTGTATGATAATTTGCCAAGGGCTTGATGCGGAACTTGATGTCCCCCGAATGATAATCGAATTCTTTCTTCGAATCTTTTCTTTCATTCATGGCGAAAATTTATTGTCTGTTGGGCTGTTTATGGATTGATGCTGAATCCAATATTATTGTAAATGTTTACATTATTAGATGATTAAACATGATTTCGGAAATATGTTTGATCACATTAACCAACAGAGTGTCCATAATAACCGACTTATTTTATGTACATTTATATAGGATGAAACCGGGACCGATGGTTCGGGACATATTAATCGTGGACATAATAAGCGGATTTCACTGTATTTAAATATAATTTCACCGCTAATTTGAAAATAAACTTAAATGTTCAAATCTATTAAAGGCACTTTCCAAATTAAACTTAGATGATGCAATCATGAAAAGCACTCATTTTCTGGCATCGTCAATTATTATTATCAATTTACCTACTAGTATAAAGTAAAAATACGTTGAAAAAATTGCCATCTAAGTAAAATTTTTATCAAGCATACAGTAATATAAATCAAAATATGTAGTGGTACTTCTAATAAGTAATAACGATCACACTCATAAGCAAAAGTTTCACTTAGCATCCTTTGATATGAATGTGCATGTAAATAAAAAAAAGTCCTCCTGGAAGAACGATGCCTGTGTGGCATTACAAGTACGTGCAGATAAAGGCGACACGATTGCATCGCGTGCACATACAAAAGGAACCACGAGAAAATTGATGGCGTAAATATTGTGGTAAGAAAATACGTTCCTTAAAATTTATGGCCAGTGCATAATGACCCCATAATGTTCATCTGAAGAGTAGTTCGACCACCCCCGGCGTAGTGAGAAGCTGTACTCATAATTTTTGAGCCAAGATGTGCGGTAGCAGCATCAAGGCACGCCGCGCGCGCACTGTACGTTTTTAACAAATAATACACTTAAAATAAAAATTTTAAAAAGCCGAGCTAGAACAATTTGTTATGATATTTCATGCTGCCATATATCTACATATCTTGCAGTAAATAGAATCTTTAGTACAGATCAGGTTAATGATTTTCAGTTAACGAGGATCAAATGATATTTAGAAACTTAATGAAAGCGACGACGGGCTTTTGACTTGTTATCAGCTGTGGATGATGAAAAAGATTGAATTTTTAAAGGTTCAACTGCTTGGAAAATTTTCTTTTAGAAGAGGGAAGCAATTTTGAATCCCTTCTCTAAGAACGTTATAAAACGCAACAGTTGGTCCCATCAGGGTCGTTCAGATGAGAATGATTATTATCGTAATTTCATGAAAAGAAAACGATTTTTTTATTGTGAAATAGACTACCAAAAACTATAATTAAAAAAATATTAATTAATTCACTTTTTAGTAATTTGTTGCATATGTATATTATAGTTAATTTTTTTGAGAGTGTAATCGAGATTGTTTTCTTCGGTACTTGCGCATGGTGATTCAAAAAAAAATTTCAAGTTATATTTCCTAAAAAATAGAGATCGGTAATAAATAGAAGAAGCATCAAAAAGGAATTATACAATTTTCATTAAATTATTAATATTCCTTGACAATAAAACAAATGATCGGAACAAGTGTCATTTCTAACTAATGTGGTAAAAAAATGATTGAGCTTCAATTATTCATCAATAATTTCCTACAGACTTAATAACATTCTACTTTAATTAAGAACAATATAAATTTTCTTCAAGTTTAAAGAAAGTAAAACGAGCAGTCTGAATTAGAAAAAACTTTGTGTACTCGGTACGAAACTTATTATATGTTGGAGCTGCTTGAAGCAAAGGCAGGCTCAAAAGCTAATAAGATATTTATGAAAGAGAGAGAGAAATAAAGTTGAAGCTTTAAATTTATGCTTCTACTGCCATCGTGGAACGTAATTTTTTGGACCAACCATCGGCAGAAATATTTACCACTTGAAATATTTGACCGCAATTTTTAGACGAAAGTTGTTTCAATTTTCTACTTTATTATATCAAATGGTGTAGAAACATTTCACTCACGTTTTCCAGAATTTTCAATGAATATTTTTTGAAAAAACCTCTTGAATGTATTCATTTTGGACTTTTCTTGAAACATGTACTTTTATCGAAAAATATTCAGCGTAAATCCTGGAAAATGGGTTTGAAAATTTTCATTTTAATCGTGACTTTGATACAACTGACTTTGTTTAAATATGAAATTCATTTGAAATTTGATACATGTTTAAATATGAAATATTTTTAGGCAATATATACATATTTAATCTACGTGTCATGTATCAACAGTAGTTGACAAAAAAGTTTGATGGTTAGAATAAAAAAGCTTAAGTAAGATATGCAATGAAATGAAAAAAATTAAGTTCAGAAACATACATAAAAAGTTGGAGCAACGAAAGGTGCAACTTGAGAAGTGGGCCCGCAGTTTGGCCAGCCTTAAATGTAGTAGCTGTTTCATTCGCGTACTTTGTAGACGTTTGTTAAAACTCCTTATAGCAAGAACAAGTTGTGAATGAGATTAAATTGCAAGACAGCCGATGCATGAGCAGCTAGGACAATGAGGCGCGTGGCTATGATCGTCACTGAAACCGTCTGGCAACACTCGCACTCACGAAGCGTGCGCTCCGGTATTTACCGGTAGACTGGCAGCGCGCAGCCTTAGCTGAGAGCATCACAGGATCACTTTCTCGCCTGTTATACTACTGATGCTTTCTCGCGCGCAGGCTCACTGCTACTCGCTCGCTTTAATCTCGGAACGCGCGCGCAACGCATATAGCGTATAGCTTTGCAGTCCATGCCGCGCGTTGGTGGCGGCGGACCTGGACCATCACAAATGCATTTATGTCTATACGTACTTACATAGCTATGCATCATCTCTCTCTCTTTCTCTCTCTCTCTCTTTGCGCTTTCATTCGATTTACAAGCTTACGTTATTCCTGTAAGGAGAAGATACTCTTGTAACTCCGTTTTACAGCCAATCTTAAGCTATTCTCCTGTGAATACAAAATAACATTTTATCACGCTCACTTGAGTAAGTGACAAGTGATCAAGAATAACTCATTGCGTCGTCAAAAGCATATTATTCAACATTCAAGTTGGTTAGAAAAAGTATTTAATCGCTTCTCTGTGTACTTTCAAACTCATTTTGTTGAAGGCTGCCGACAAAATTAATGGGTACATTTTTCATCGGTTTCATTTGCTTTGGTTGAATCATCTATCACGATATATTATATGATAGAGTGGAGTTACAGACAAGCAAATCGCAGAAAGTTAATCAGCTTATAGTCGCTCTCATCTGTCAATCGTAACGGTTTTTCAGGTAGCTAAAAGGGTGGTAAATAAGCGCTTACCGGACTCTCGCTGAACGTTTAGTATTGCACGGCGTTACGTATATGCTTTTGGATCATGCTAACGTAGTATTAGCGTGCGTGTATACGCGAATATCAGCGTAAAACTGCTATTAGGTGAATGTGCGTACGTGCCAATGCCGAATCCGTTAATTAGAGTCGTTAATTAAAGAAGAGCAGGGAAGGGGCTAGGGCGGCACAGACCGGGAAAGTCGCTCATCCGTCAGTCAGATTCGGTGCAACGCCAGTGCACACGATACAATACGCAGCGGACAGAAACGTGCGACAATGGCAAATGTCGACCTGCAAAGGCCTACTCTACCTATGCTACTGCTGTTGACGGAAGTCTACACATTATTCTGGATAAATACCCCTTCTCTCGTCCAAGAAGAGACCAATCATGTTTTTTCTCTCTTGTCCACTCTAGGGATGCCATTTACCAAAACATCGTGTTGCTATGCATTCAAGAGGAACTTTTATAATTCCAAGTCCTCACAGTTTGAAATAACTTCGAAATTTACCCGTGATGATTCGTGAAGAAAATAAAGGTTAAATTTATATCAAAATAATTACCATTATTATGATTATTTTTTTTACAAAGGATAGTAAGTAATCTTCACGAACTGGAAAGTTGTATCCACAAGGAGATCAGCACCAGGGGTCCGTACCGGGCGCTCAAGCCAGACTTCTCCTGGCTAACCCTCAACCACCTTTTTTGACGCCTACAGGTCACGAATTGCCTAATGGGTGGTCCAAAATAAACAAATATTTTCATTTTCGCTTGCCTTTCATTGTTTTTATAAAGTAAAAGAGGAAGCTTTTTAAATCTTTAGCCCTTTATCAATATTTAAAGTTTGCTGATCTAGGTAATATCGTCACCCCAGCGCAGAAGGGGTCCCTTTAGTTTAGAGGTTGCAGGATACCTATGTTCTATGTTATAACATAAGAACTTAGCAATTCGATAAAAAAGGGAAAACATTTTCGAGTTTGATATCGGCTCATATCGTCGTAAATAAATTATCATAATTTTTAATTATTTTTTCTGAAACCCTGAAGCACCCATAAAATAAGAAAAAATTAGAAAAAACTGAAGATTGTTTTGATTGATCAAGTGCGATGTTCGCTCTACTGTTTAAAGCGCAAACGACGGCTCTATTTGCGACTGGGCACTTTGGCTCGCGTCGGTTTTGAATTGTACAAATCGTTAGTTACCGATCAGAGTTTTCTCGCATCGATCATCGCTCAACGACTCGTTCAGACGTCGTGAATTCTACATTCTTGTATATAGAGAGAAAATTAAAGTGAAAATCAGAAGTTAAAAACTACAACCAGTAAAATAATTAATCCCGCTCATATAATTCGATCCGGCGGCAAAAATATGCGAAAATTGGAGTTAAACTCCTTGCGTTTAACATGCACCTTCATGGATTTTAAACTCAAAAAATGGCTTCGAAGTCGATAAAAAGAGAAAACTCTGCATACATTGGCAGAGGGCTTCACCATAAAAAAATGTATCGTTCCCACTTTTTTTATAAATGTTAATAAAAATCTAATTTTTGTTGCTTTTCTTTTAAAATTACTAATATATCTAAAAAAACTTAAACTTTGTAAAAATCTATTATTCAATTTTCGAAAAATGAAAAAAAACTTTTCATTTTCACGATGTAATGGTATAAATAATCGATGAATCTTAATGTTTTTGGTCTTAAATATAAGTTTAACTGCTCATCTTTAGAAATACTTCAATGATTCATTTCATACTTTCAAAAAATTAGAATGAAATGAAATTTTTTCTGGCTTCATCCTCAACCCAATCGGCAATAAATGCAGTTTATTTCAATAGCATTTACCGTCCCATTATTGAAAAAACTCGTTCCACATGCATACATCCACACACAGACATCAGTCACAAATTCGATCTAGTGTATATTTTGACTGCAGTCAAAATATACAAGACACAATTGACAAAAGTTTATTTTAGACCCATAACAAAGCTTCCTCTATGAGAAAGCAAAAGACCCAAGACCTAGACAGATTTTGAGCCAATACATCATAAGACAACTATTTCGAAGTTAACCGAATAACGACTATTACATGACCAAAATGATGTATAAAAAAAATCAAAAATAAGTCGTATTTAGAATTCTTTAAAATAGCTTTAATTTTTTTTCGTAGTAACGTTATTCTTCATAAGTGGAAGTTTTAATCGAATCGAAGTATGCTTTTTTAAGATTAATAGAACAATACGGTTTGTACTGTATGCAGATGAATTACGCGAAAGTTTGCTGGAAATTTTGCATATCTAGTTGGCCTATCCACATAGAAATTACACGCAACAACATACCCGATTGTCTTGTGGACGACGTTATTGTGGCGACACAAGCACATGTAGATATGTGCACCCATATGCCACTTGCGCAAAACACGCATGTAGCTTGATGTGTGCTCGGATAGATACAGAGGGAAAAGCAACATCGATGAAGTTTGTATGCTCTGGCGAAACGTGCACGCGGTGCAGTGCGCGCGTCACCGGCTGGGGCCAGAGTTACTCGGCGGCTCCCGCGTCTTGTTTCGAGACGGAACGAAACTGCTGCGAGCTAAGCTGTGCACAAACCCGATGTATAGAGAGTTTATAATATACTTTTGCCGAGTGCGGTTTAGTCGCTGTTTTACGATTCGCGCCAAACTGTCAATCTTGCTCCTTGGGAAAACGCTCGTTATCACGCAGCCTCGCTTCCTCCAGCACATATAGTAATTCACTTCGGACGAAGCTTGTAAAAGTGAACGACGAGACTTGCGCCCGCTCCAACAAACGACCCGTTGCCTAAATACACTGATCTCGCGACTTTCTAACTTTGTGCACTCACCGACAGCTGAGTTGGCCTTATATAATACGCTTAATTCAATTGAAAAAGTATTCATAAACTTTTTATATTTTGAACCTTTACTGATCCCTTGCTTGTCACCAGTTCAATAAGACTTGTCTACTAAATTTGCTTCCCGCGCGGATCCTATACTTATCACCTAAGTAGACAAAGGTGAATGTGGAAATTAAATTAAACTTCGACTGTACGAGCTGGAATACGTGCCAAGAGAGACACTTTAAAAATGTTACCCACGACCCGATTGATTAAGCACTCGACAAAATTACGCTTTATCCTCATCATCGTTATAGTTGAATACGAAAGTCGAGCGAGTGTAGACATACACATACTATACTCGCATATAGTACGCAAGTAGTATTATATTTTCCTCGAAAGTCAGTCATTCGAGCCGCGACCACACCGCAAACTCTATTGATTATCCTCAATTTAACTAATAGTTGAGGGCAAATTAATAAAGGCGAAGCCTCATCGTTGTCATCGTAGTCGTTAGACGTAACGCGCGCTATCCTGCCCCCGTGTTTTCATCGTCATCGGGTCGCGCGCGCGACCGCCCACAAGTGCTTCCAATGCGTAAACACGTCAAACTTATCAATGTCGAGCCTCAGCTAGTCGGACAGAATCAAGGTAGAAGCAACTTTCGAGCAACTTCAGTCGCTCCCGACCGGCCCTGAGTATATTATAATATAAGCAATGGATGAAGTCAAACAGCTGCTGCCTTCCGACGCTGGACTCGCTTCTCGAGCATCCAACTTTCCTACTTTTCCTACTTTTATTTTCACTATGCCTATCTACTTGTAACAGCGGCTACGGATTTTCAAGTTTTCCCTGGACGAATCCAACCCTAGCCGGACTCTATATGAAAAAACATTTCTCGACTTGTTTTGTCCAACTCTGTGTAGCACTGGCGTGAAATAATTTTTCTCTTGCTTCTATACAACTTATTCGTGTTTGAGCTTGTACCGTAGAAATATTTCCATTGTACAAAATAAGCAAACTCGTTGTAGTAAAAAGAAAGATTGCCAGACCTTATGCTTTACCTGATTTGATTGATTTATTACACCGTGACAAATTATCAACATCTGGCTGAGATATGTTTCAATGGTAAATTTATACAAAATATGTTAACAATGTATTTTCCAGTGAAAAGTTCTTATTCATTTTTGCAGTACTATTGTGAAAATCTGCAACCGTAATAAAAAAAAATAAACAACAAATTCTATAGATTTTAACACTATTAAAATTATTATACCTAAAGAATATAATCTTACAATAATTTTATAGCTTTTGAAAATTGTAAAATATACTGAAAACTGAAATTTTGAATATAAGCGCTGCAGAGAGGTGCTGATTTGTAAAAAGTGTTTCGAGTCAAGCTTGGAACTTACT